GCGGTTCCCCAGGTTCCCATAGGCTCCAAGCTGCCAGCCAAACTGAGTCAAGCCTGCCAGCCCCGCGGGAAATGTCAATTCCACTCTTTCAGACATAGACACCCACGATTTGCGTGTACCTGAACAAATCTCTAACAGGGGGGAAACAAAATAATTGGAAATTCTTGAATCCATCTTTTTGTTTTGCTTATAACATACATAAAAGTCAAACGCTACTGTACATTCACTGGTGAGGCTTTATTTATGATGAGAAATTTTTTTATACAACTTCAAGCATTTAGAGAAAATGTTCAATATAATGGGTGGGACTTAAATTGTTGGTATGAACTATCCTATACATTTACACATTGCCTGATATCATAAAAGCAATAGAGCTTTAGAAATTTGTAACCACTTAAAATTTCGCATTTATTTAATTTATTGCTATCGGTTATTATTCTTTGACGGAAAAAATAACGGCGAGTCGGTATGTTGGTAGTCTTTCAACTCCATCAAATCTTAAGGTTCTTTTGGCATTTATTTTTTTGTCTTTCCTTGTTCCTCTGCTTTTTATAGCAGCTTTCACCGCCACTAAAAACGTGACATCCAAACTACTTTTATTTATATCACACAACGGTGAACTTCGAAAGCGCGTCGCTTCGGCATACGCGAAGAGATCGCGCCTCTCTATGGCACAGCCTTGAGCATTGGCAAGAAATCAGGCTGCTCGCTCTCGTAACGTTTTTTCTCGCTCCCGCTTTACGAAACGAATCGGTGGCGAGCGGCTGTTGGGACCACACGTCAGAACTAGCAAGACCTGTGATTGCTTGAGCTGCCGCCAGACTGCACTTGAACGCTTCGCAAAAGCGTCGTCTGACGAACGCCGTCGGACGGCGCCCAGAACAGGCTCAGTTCCGCCGCACGCGAATCTGTCTCGCTCTGCGGAGCGAGCCATAGGTTTGAAGAAGGCGCGCTCTTTTCAAATAACGAAATATTACCGGCCAGAAGAATTGTTAGAATAAAGCATAGCTTACCAAGCACATGGTACACGACAAAATTTGAAAAAGCGGCTCACTTCGCAGAAACAAAAGAAATTTGCTTGGGAGAAGAGCGTGTTGGTGTAAGTCATGGATGAAGAAAGAATAAAACAATTAAAACCGGGACAACAGAACCACATCTTTCGACTAGCAACAGACGAGTAAACTTTCAACAGCGAGCAGCCGACTATACCCAGGAGGGAAAGGGGGGAGAAGGGGGAGAGAAGGAAATATAGTACACGCGAAGTGCAAGTCAGGGTGGTAGGGTTATCTCGGATTTTAAAAATTCAACCTCAGTTTTCGTCTGCAGGAAGGAAGGGTTTGACACGTTGCTAGTTAAAAGATGTGGTTGTGTTGTCTCTGTTTTAATTGTTTTATTCTTTCTTCATCCATGATAAAAAGAAATTTACTCTCCGGCGCTTGCAGCAATGTCCGCAACTTACGGGCGATGGTAAGACGCAGTGTCTCTCAGCTCTCAGTCATCGCTGGACGTTATTGAACAGAGTATTCGTAAGGAAGATATCTAAAATACCTGCTAAAACGGCTAAAACGTAATAAAGGAAGCGATTTTCGAAGCTTGTGAAACCCCAACGACAGCCTAACGGAAGCTGATTACGATAGCGATCGCCTTGCGCAATATTCAAAAGATGAGTCTTTTAACGAAACCAAGCTAAATATTATATTACTAATAATATTGTCACTATAATAATGTTGTATAAATTGATAAAGATCCAGTTTACCTTATGCTTTAACTGAACTTTAGGTTTTGTTTTGAAGTGTAAAAACCGAAACTGAAAATATCTCAACCAACGTTTCGTTCGTGGTATTCGTTTCCTTGCGTGTGTGTGCGTGCATCCGCCCAGGTTCGTGTGCGCCTGTGGATGCGTCCGTGTGCTTGTGTGTGCGTGCATCTGTGCTTGTGCGTCTGTGCGCTGGCGCGTCTGCATGCGTGCGTGAGCTCGTTTATGTGTCTGTCTGCGCGCGCGCAAGCATTTGTGTTCGTTTTTTTCTATTGAACTACGCCAGCAATAAGACTTATTAACATTGTTGAAATATGCCAGCGTGAAGTCCCGCGGTTCTTCCTTAACTCTGCAGTAAACGCTAGTTTATCGATTGATTGAGCTCTATTTTGCCGGTTGTGATTTGAGACAGAAGTCAATCGGCAACTTCCGCAAATAGGGCGAACAACCGTTTTCTCTTCTAAATATCGCGCTTCGAACATACGTCGAGAAGTCCGACACCTTCGTTGTTTCCGTTTTAGCAGTTTGATTACCAATATGATACGCTCCATTAAAGTATGTTCAGTTCCAAGCCTGCAACAACGAAAAAAAAAAATGTATGTTTTTTTTTGTTTTTTTTTAAATATGGCTTGACGTCACCGTCATCCGCATCGTCATCGTCATCATCACTGATGACGTCATCAGTGACGTCACTGATGCGGATCCGATGACATCATCAATGACGATGACGTCATCGGGGAGGTCACGTGACCTCGGCGGTGGTCACGTGACCTGGGGGTGTCCCGTGACTTTGGGGGGCGGGTCACGTGACCTCGGGGGATCCCGTGACTTCAGGGGGTCACGTGACCTTGAGTGTCACGTGACCTTAGGGGTCACGTGACCTTGGGATGACCTTGGGGGCCACGTGACCTTGGGATGACCTTGGTTACGCCGACGGCGACGCCGACGCCGCTCAAGCCGGGAACGGGCCCCTAAGAGCTGCGCTCTAAAATACAAGCGTTCTACCTAAAACCGTTTGATCCGCTAAAAATGTGCCAGGACTTAGTCAAAATTAATGGAACGCCAGCCTTATGGGGAACTCAACTGGAATCTTGGTGGAACCGGATTAATAGTTTGTAGATGCCGCACGTTTTGAACGTGCTTTGAAGACGCTTCCGTGTGTACCGGGAGTGCGTTAGTTCTCTTATCCTAAATAATACTAATGGCGCACCTAAATTATACTTCAGGCGCCTACGGTTGCTTAGAGAGTACTTTAAGTAGGCTAGTAGTTACATGATCTAAGCATACTTGGCAAGTATACCTAGACCATGGAACGGCTCCCACGTACCGTATACTACTACTCTCCTTTTTGTAATATTCTATTACACTCTCTGTCTTATTGTATACCAAAAGTATGTCGAGTATTCTTTTATAACGCATTTTTCGCTAAGGGGTAGCTTGCGCCAACTAACCTTACACCAAATTATTTGAAATATATATTTTTATTTTTTTCTCTTCTTTCTCTTTTGTACTTAAAATTCTTCTCCCCTTTTCTCCCTCTAACTACCATCGGTCAGGTAGAGTACTTTCCAAGAAGACCTTCGGAGAATCGGGTAAAAAAATAAAAAAATAAACACCGCCGCCGCCTCCTCTCCCGGGCGAGGGAGTCGCCAATTTTCCTTTGGTGAACCTCGTCGGCGTTCCTCTTGAACCAGACGTGGTTCAAGGGGGACAGACGTGAGACTTTGATACAGCTGGATATCTATCATACTGACGCAGGACGCCGTTAAAAAATGAAATTTTAAGTCATATTAAAGCTCAGGTTATAAGTTTCTTTTTAAATAACATGTAACTTTTTATACACATCGTAATCAGCTCTTCGTGAGCTTGTCATATGGTTTCAATTATTGTTTCGACGGGTGGCGCCGAGTTCTTTGTCTGTTACTAAAGTTTGAGCTACAGTATGGAGCTTCCCGGTTGCCAAGCGTCTAGCATGCTGCATGACTATTTGCCGCATATGGAATTACAGTTAGAAATACTTTATAATTTCGTCAGGCTGCCGTTCAACTCTGTTGAGTTACTGGCAGGACAAAACGTGCAGGTCATTTGCCTGAATGCTTTGCAATCTTGTGGGTTTTAAAAAGTGCCAAGGCACCGTGTGAGTGCCAACTATGGGGAGGGGGCGAGCCGACGGCGTCGCCGCCGTCGCCTATTGCTCGCTGCTGTCTGGCGTCAGTCGGCGCGGAATCGTTGGGTAGCAATGCCGGAGAGCTACACTGCGGCCAATGCGCCTTTGTCATTATCGCGCAACCTAATGTGGTTAAAAAAAGTTTTGAGCCTTGTTTAGTGTCGCACAGTTGTCGTAAGACAAGCAGTATGGCCCACGATTATGGTGCAAAGAGATTTTATTTTGATGAATGGGCGTAGATAACTATGGGGCCTGCTCCGCAGCGCCCACGCGCGAATGCCGCTAGTGGGATTTCAGGCGCGGTTCATCCGCCGAATTACGCGAACGTGTATAGCAAGCCCAGTTTTCTTTCTAGCATTTAAATAACCAGTGATAACATGAAGGTTTTTCTTGCGCACAAAATGACTTGGACAGCGCAATACGATTCTTTCCGCAAAATCTGTAGCTAAATCAAAGTGCGCGCTGACATCCGTGTCTTCAAACGGTGTAACTGCATAAAGTGCCCATTGGCGCGAACTTAACGTATACGAGTAAATCGCTTAGTTAAGGTTAAAAAAAAAGGAATGACGTATTATTCTATGAAGTTGCTTCGATCGTTCACGTACATTGCTCGACGGTCGGCGTGGATATAGTAATTTTGCATTGACAGGGCGTGCATTATTCAGCCTTAAGATATACTTATTATTAATGCTACAAACACTAACAACCCTTAGTCGTTTCAAAATTAATTAATTGTATTCTACTTGAAATTTGGCGTTATATTGTATGACTTGAAGTCAGCAAAACAAATGCACAAAAGAAACCACTCGACAATTGCATTTCCAAGCACAGAAAATGCTATGCTCTTATATAAAAGTTATTGATTTCGGGTAGCTCAAAGGAAATCGATTGTGAAATAACTGCATTATTTTCTAGAAGTAATTTAAGCTGCAATGAATCATTTTTTCTCATATAGCAGTTCTTATTGTAAGTACCTTATTTCGGACAAGGGCAGCTTGATTCTTTCTTTATATAGACCACAAATCTGGGAGGCCAGAGCGAAAGGCGGCAAACGTTGTAACTATAATTAAATTACATTTACTGAGTAACTGAACAAAGTAGGCTGCTAGGCAGTTCATATAAACCGTAACCTTTCTTTGGTATATGCAACGTTTTGAACAGTTTAACTGCCTGTTACATGAGTTCCATTACCAATTTGAACAGTTCGACCACAAGTTTGAACAGTTACCTGCCAGTTTGAACAGTTTCACCCCAATTTGAAGCTCGCAAGTTTGAAGAGCAGTTTGATCATCAGCGTAATCTGTTCAGTCACCATTTTGAACAGTTCGAAAACCAGTAGGGCCAGTTCTGCTATCAGTTTCACCTGCCTAGCTCTCAGTTTAGCCTGTTTGGCAGGTTGGGCTTCCTGTTTGGCAAGTTTTGCTTCCTGTTTAGCAAGCTGAGTTGCCTGTTTGGCAAGTTTTGCTTCCTGTTTGGGAAGTTCGGTGGCCTCTTTCGCAAGTTTCGCTGCCTGATTTGCAAGTTTGTCCCCCTGTTTGGCAAGTTCGGCTGCCTGTTTGGCAGGTTTAGGTGCCAGTTTGGTATATTAATGTTCCGATTCGGCCAGTCTGTTTTCCTATATCGCCAGTTAGTCAGTTCGACTTCCATTTTGCCCAGTTTAAATTCGGGTATGCCGGGTTCAGAATCACAGTGTTTTTTTTAAACATGGTAATCATTCAGGTCTTGATACGATATTCCCGACAGAGGCTTCATTGACTCGGTTTTGGAATTAAGCGTCGCAAATGCAGTCCTTTCGAAATTGGTGTCGTGTTGTCACCAAACGCGGCGCCGATAATAAACGCTTACTTGAGGGTCTGTACCTGTCTTTAAATTTAGCCTACATTATTTCACAGGTGGTTGTGTTCAGAAACTGGTCAAACTTCTTATAAATCGCTCTTTATCAGTGGGAAGCAAGATGGCGGTTTGGCTAGCAGGTGACAGAGTTGTCTCTTTTTTGGTTGGGCCGCCCTCCCAGCAACAATAAGGTAACCTAAACACACTGGCCGCAACCGATCTCTCACCCACCGATTCTCTTTTTTTTTTTTTGTTTCCACATATACCTGTGTTCTTGAAATGTTTGCCCTAGCCAAACTGTTTCCTTCAGTACGTATTATGACGCAGAGTTTGCTCAACGGAGGTGATGTGCTGCTTGGCCGTACAGCATTGGGTTTTAGGTTTGCAAGTACTACGCTTTCCGTTTTCCAGAAATCACGTTGTCGTCGTAGGCGCAATCCCAACTGCGATGTAATTGCGAAGAATGCGTTAATGTGGAATTGCGTGTTCATTAAGTGTTATAATCCTTCCGATTATAATATTGTGTAAAAAGTTATTGAATCATGCTCTAGCAGAAAACAACATAGTTAAATTATTTTTCATGATATTCGCGAGTTAAGATTTTTTGAGATGTTATTTGACTTGTGTTCTTAGAATTGTTTTGGAGGCATTTTCTTGAGAGCGAAAAAAGAATGTTTGCTTTTATATAATTTTGTATTGAGACTTTCAGTGAGGTGGCAGATTGCCATTTTACAGAAACAAACATATAGTGACTATCTAATAATGAGTGTTTTGTTTATTTGAACGAAATATTTCGCAGGGTGAGTTCTCGTGACACTGTCACATCAAAAAAAAGAAACTCATATATTGCATAAAATATAAAAAAACGCATAATAATCATGCATATAACATATGTGCATCACTATTACTTGAGAATGCAGAGGGCCGATTTGAAGTTTTGCCAAAGTTGTCTATATTGAACGTTCTCTCACAATTTACATACATGGAATTGCTTCGTTCCATGTGTCTTGCGATTTTCCAATTCGCAAATGAAATGCATTAGGGAACATGGTAGACAATATTGCGTGTCTTATGCGTAAAATACGTGTATAATTTAAGATTTCCTTATTCTACTCAAAGTTGTGAGTGTCCTCTAAAACAAGTTTGTTTTAAGTTTTTTTTTCTACATATGCATCCTTCGTACTGTTCAAAGATTATGTGCCGGATGGGTGCATATGTTTAGTAGGGGATAACTATAATTGAATGTGTCTATGTTTTTTTTTTCAGTGGACATGGCGTCATTTGGATGTGTTGTTGAGTTGCTGAAAGTTTTGATAGAATATGACATTCTTTTGAATTTCGACCCTTTGGCGAACCCCCCAAGACCCAGTTCGGAAATTTCTGCGGCGGTAAGCTCTCATTGGCCGCGATAACTCATCATATATGCAGAATGCTGCGCTGAGGTTTGAGTAAACATATTAGGTAGTCGGGTGAATGAGAAAGGCAGAATGTGTCTTTTGAACGCTCGAACAATTAACGTAAGTACATGCTAGTTTAATTACACTACAATCAGTAAACTAAAATCTGCCAAAGCAGGTTCCGCGCCAAGTTCATAGCAGCATCGTCAAATGTCGAATAAGATTGCTCCGTCCTGCTCTAGCTTCGTCTTGCCAATCATAGAAGAGTGAAAAATCTTTAGCCTAATACAAAAGAAATGCTTATACCCCCAATTAGGCCTAGTGTAAAGCACTTGGCTTTCTTACTTGGGGCTTTGCCAACAGCGCAACCTCAGAAAAGTCGTTTTACGTTTGCGCTAATTCTCTCACTTCTGCCCCGCGTAATATATTACCGTGAGGCAGTGCACACCTGGATAATAAAATTACAGTCACTTGAATGATCATTATACAGCAAATGTCACATCAATCAGTTTTGTTGGTCATTTTCGCCATTTTTTTAAGTGCGTTGCCAAAATTCCAGCTTCTATGGGTACTTAAAAATATTTTCCTAATTGTTATGACGCGATCAAATAAAAATCATTTTATTTTACCTTTCATCCCGTGTGTAGCATAAAGTTGAGGGCCGAAGCTGATTAACCACGGCATTTTGCTTACATTTTCTCCCTCGCACAAAACAAGAATGTAACTAGTTTCCAGTTTGATTTCTACAACTACTCATTCTAACCAGTTTCGAAATGCTATCACTAGGCATTTTCGCATGACCCATGACCGCTCGATTGCTTTTATTGATATCTAATCGATAACTTTTTTTTGTTACAACCTTACTCTCATTTTTTGTGCCTGCTCTCCCCCTCTTCCATTCCCTCGTGCCATGAGAGTAAATTTAAGATATAAACGAATAAAAAACACGCGAGTCAATTGCGCAAAACGAAACCGATACGAATTAAACATAGAACCATTTCTATGCGCTTAGTAAATATAGATGTTTACAAAATATAGTAGACAGAATGACGTCAGCCCCCTAGCTCATGAAAGTCATCCTGCGGTGCTACCTGTCTCTCACTCGTCCTCCTCCTCAAGAAGACGTCATCGTCGCACACTCGCGTAGTAGGGATGAAAGAGTGGGCAGGGAGGAAAGAGTGGCTCTGGAGGGTTCTAAGGCTCGACCAGTCACAAATGTTGGGCGCGGCGGCAGTGACCTCTAACCATCGACGAGTGCATGTCTGCTTTAATTTCCCGACTTATCGCAGCTATAAATTGAAGGACCTGAATCGTAAATATCATTTTTCACGCATCGGTAGTTTAAACCCATATTAAACTATAGCCCTTGCAGCACACTTCTCCGGCTCATACTTGGGCCAGTTTGGAGCAAGCTTGGGTCAGGCTATAGCCAAATTTGCTCTAGATCGCGCCTATCTGGCCAAGGCCTTGTCCGAGGAAGTTTGCTACTTGGGAGAACACGCCCCTATTAAAAAAAAGGAAAGGAAACAAAATTAGAGATTTAAGCATGTGGCAAACTGGTCGACCCGTCTCAATCATACGGGTGGCAAACTTGTCTATCTGTTTGGATCACACGTGATTGTAGGATGCGCGTACCTCTTTGAAACGCTACCCGTTCGAAACGGTACCCATTTGATACGGATGCCCGTTTGATACGGGTGCCCGTTTTATACGGGTGTCCCTTCGACCTGGCACGTGACCACTCGTTTGAATGTGCCATTCGAATTGGCAAATTATGCGCTAGCCCTAAATGGGTATCGTCTAGTAGGTTGGTTATTTTAAACTTATTTAAGGCGTCCCGATACTCATAAACCTATTTGTAACGTGGAGGAAACATGTAAAACAAATGTGCTCGGGTAGGTGCTTGCAAATGGACAGGAAAACAATCACAAAAGATGGTTTTCAATTCTCCTCGAAGTTTTATTACCTCTTCTGTAGACAAGTACAAACGTGCAAGCGATCTGTGACATGTGAGAGGCACTCTAAGCTTTTATACATCTGAGAAGATTGCAAAGCAATCAAGAACGGAGGTAATTCTAGACTATAAAGGTAGACTTTCAGGGAAATTATTCTCTCGGCTGCCGCGAAAATACAAGCTGCATAATTATATAGATAATCTGGAAGAGTGCGCGTAGAGGAACGGTCAATCGTCGCCAAGAAGTAGGTTGCAGTGCACTTACCATTATTATAGCGGACTTGAAAGATGTAGTTCGTGATATTTGTCGACACGGTGAAAGCACGGACAACCACACAAACAAAAACAAGAGGGAGCGGCTCCTTGGAAGTTTCAACACGATGCAGCGCACAAGCTGTCATTTGCCGAACCCTACCAAATTGTAAGAATTAGTGACCTCTTTGAAGAATCACTTGTTGCCGATATACGCGTCGGACTTTTCGAACACTGATATCTTTGGTGCACATCCATTACGTTGTCGAGAGACATTATAATAAGACCGCAGGGTTAGGCGACAGATCGAAGCAGGTAGGACGAGCGAAGTTCGAACTGCAATTGACAACAAACAAAGAAAAAAGTCGTAGCCAGGCGCGCCCTTCCGGATCTCGATGCTTATCAACATGTAGATGGTGCGCTGCTGTGGGACACCGGAACAGCCCTGAACCCTCTCCTCAGGCTTTCCAGTGAGACGTATCTTTGTATCCTCGGAAAGGAGGCGCGGGCGTGCGCATTTTAGCAGGCTCGAACATTGGAAATAACGGCGGGCCAGCCAGAAGCTCGGCTAGCGCCCGAGCGAAGAAAGTACTCAGCGAGAGCTTGTAGTTTGACTACTGCAACGGCGGGCGTTCTCTCGCAATGCTCGGTGTTCTTGGAGCCGCGTGTTCGCGCACTACCTTCACTGCGTCTAAAGTAGAAGTGAAACGGTTTCTAGAAGTACATTCTTTTACACGATCGTGTCTTCTGCGAGAGAGATTCGAGCTGAATAAGTAAATTGAGGCAAGAAAGATGGACAGAGTTTTAAAGTTTTGTCAAAAAAATGGGCTCACCAACGTCGCGCATTTACGTAAAAAGTGTTAGTTTTAGTTGCAGTATAAGCGAACGTCAGCGCAATTAAAATATAGATATTTTTGTATGCTGCCGTGGCAGCTGAAGGCGACCGCCCTGCTTCAGTACCGGTAAAGAACAACTTTTTTTAATTCGATCTTCTTCTTCAGACTAGAAATGCAACAGTAGCGCCGCCACAACAGTTCCCCCCTTCAAGAATAAAAAGGAAATGCTATGTACAACATTAGAAACACGAACACTAATATAAAACAAAATCCCACAATCTTTGTGGTCTGGAGGTCTCTCTGGCAGACCGTCTTGGTTCCATGGCCACTGAACTGGGCGAACTGATAAGGGGACATCCCGGTGTCGGCGAGGTCGATAAAGATGCCGGCAATGCAGACTCCCACAATGGCAAGGGAGGTGATTGTGGTTGCGCGACCATAGAAGGCGAACATGCGGTTGATGATGGGGTCAATGATGGTGTCGCGAACCATGGCATGTTGCCCAGGTCAGCTTGAGGAGGTGGCTTCGTGCTTGGTGGTATGACGACCAGCCGCTTCCTGTTCCACACTTTCCCGTCTTCTAGACGGTAAGCATTTTTCTCCAGGTATTTCACCACCTTCAGGGGAGCAGATTAGCTAAGGCTCCCTTATGAAATGTATCCTGGCAGCTTGACCCGTACTCTATCTCCAGGTTTCAGCACGTTGACTTGGTCTCCCCGGCGAGCATCCGTATACTTAAACTTCTGCTGGGACTGAGTCACTCGTTGTCGCAGCTCTCCCAGAGTCTTTGTCGGTTCATCGAAAAAATCCTTGGACGGGCCCCCCACGATGTCCAGCCTCGTCCTTGGATGGCGTCCATGCAAGAGGAACGCCGGCTTCTCGCCTGTGGCAGCGTGAGGAGTAAAACGGTAGACTCCTAGGTACTCCACCACCGCTTCCTTTAGGAGACGCTGCTCCCATGGACACTGATTTGCACAGTCCTTGAAAACACGGGTGAAACGTTCAATCTGTCCATTACTTTGGGGATGGTACACCGAAGAGAGGGTGTGTCGCACTCCCCGTTCTGTCGAAATTGCTCCAAACTCAGCAGAAACGAACTGATGTCCATGATCACTCGCAAGCTCAGTAGTGTAGCCTTCCCGGCTAAACACTGCCCGTAAAAACGAGATTCTCTTTCTTGACGTCACAAGTGCCGTCAGACACACTTCGGGCCACTTGCTGAAATAATCTATCAGTGCTACAGCGTACCGGCAGTCGCTCGAAGCATAGGCAAAGGGCCCAATGATGTACACTCCTCCTTTTTCCCTGGGAGCAGACGGAAATGCAACTGGATGTAGAGAGGGTACTACCGGTTTCGCAGACTTGTCAACTGCTTGACAAACTCCGCAGGACCTAACTGCAGTTTCAATGTGCCTGTCCGTTCCAGGCCACCAATACGAGTCTCGAGCCCGCTGTTTAGTTATTGTTATTCAAGGGTGAGCTTCGTGCAAGTTCCACAATCTTTGCAGTAAGAGCGGTAGGAACAACAACCCGATCCCCCCGAAAGAGCAGGTCTCCATTCGTGGAAAGTTCTTCTTTTCCTTGGTGAAAGGGTGCCAGGTCAGGATGCAGCTCCTTCATTGGTGGCCAGTTGCCGGTTGTCAAAGCAATCACTTGTTGCAGACGGTAGTCCTGCCGAGTCTCTTCGACTAATTCTTGCTGCGATAGACACGAAGAAAAGGCACAGACAACCTCGTCTTCCTGGGTCTCTCCGGGCGCATCAAGAGGCATGCGCGAAAGAGCATCTGCCACAAAGTTGTCTTCTCCCTTCTTGAAGACCATGGTGAAGCTGTATGCGAGCAAACGAGCATACCATCTTGCAATCCTGAATGGTCGCTGGCCAGTCTCTTGTGAGCCCAAAAGTGTCGACAGTGACTGGTGGTCGGTCTGCAGCGTAAAATGCGGACCCCACAAGAAAATGCGCCAGTGCTCGCACGCCCACATACAGGCCAACGCCTCACGCTCTCCAGCAGAGTACTTCCGCTCCTGTGGCATTAGGGTTCGAGAAGCAAAGGAGACGGTCACAAGGTCTCCATTTTTCTTCTGCTGTAGAACAGCTCCAAGGCCGTATGCGGAGGCGTCAGTTGTCACGACCACGGGCAGCTTAGGGTCGAACATTTAGATAGGCTCACAGGAAAGTAAGGACTTCAGTCTCTGAAAACTGTCTTCTCGAGCAGCCTTCCAGTGGAAAGGTTCACCCTTGCGTAGTAGCTCACGTAGGGGTTCTGCCAGCTCTGCATACCGAGGGATGAACTTAGCGTAGTAGCTGACCATGCCCAGAAACGAACGTAGCATGGTGACATCTGTAGGTGCTTCAGCCTCGACAATCGCGTCAACGTGGCTTTGCATGGGTGACACTCCCCGCTCGCTGAAAACATGCCCCAAGAATGACAGTTCCCGAACATTAAAATGCACTTGCCGTTTAGCTTCAAGCCCGCTTCGCTTATGCGACGGAGAGCTTCATGCAGATTCTGGAGGTGCTCCTCTTCGGTAGTTCCAAAAACAATGATTTCATCCAGGTAGCACCGTACTTGTTGACATCCCTTCACGATTGTAGTCATCACTTTCTGGAACGCAGCAGGAGCCGATGCCAACCCAAAACAAACCCTGGTGAACCTGAAAAGTCCATCGTGGGTTATGAACGCTGTAAGGTCTCGGCTTTCCGGGCACAAAAGGACATGATGGTATGCGCTCGATAGATCCAGGCATGAAAAGTACTTAGCTCCGACTAGTGCTTGTAGCAGTTCTTCAGTGTGAGGTAAGGGAAAGCTATCAAGAATGACAGCCCTGTTTACTTCTCTTAAATCGACACATAGTCGAACTTTCCGTTCTTTTTCACTGCCACGATCGGTGAGACCCATTCGGACGCATCAATCCTCTCGATGACGCCTGCCTGTAGAAGTTGCTGGGGCTCTTGGAGACTTCGTCCCCGACAGAAAGAGAAAGTCTTCGCAGCTTGGCAGAAACTGGCTGAACTCCTTGACGCCTCTTCACCTTGTGAGCGAACCCTTTCGCGGTACCGAGGGTGCCGTCAAAAAGGTGAGCGAAGTCATCTACCAAAGTGCGAGGGAGTCCAGAGGGTACGCACGTGGTGTTGAAACATTTCAACGCGCTACCGCTGGTCTCAAGGAATAAACAAGCGATGGCGTCGATGCCGAGTATGTCCGTACCGTTCGGGACAACATACGAGCGTACAGAAGTCTTGCGCTCCTTGTAGCCCACAGCAGCAACCAAGCAGCCTGCTACTGTGATCTTCTGCTGCGAAAAATCTAACTAACTTGCGGACGTACCTTGCATCTGCTAAGCAGAACTGAAGTTTCTTTTGTACGTATATTCAGACATTATGGAAACTGCTGACCCTTTGTCAACCAAGGATGATAGGGGTGTTCCTTCGACTTGAACTGAAATGTAGATGCCGTCTTCGGTTTATCGTGCACGTGAAGAATACTAAGAACGTCCTCATCAGGGCCATTTAAGCACGCAACTTCTCTGACACTACCCCCTTTGCTAGTGTGATTGGCGGTACTCTTGCAGACAGCACGAAAATGTCCGACTTTCCAGCATCCAGCAAACTTTTTTTCTCTTGCTTTCCATGTAGCGGAATTTGCAAGATTCCCGACAACCCGCAGCGGTAACATTTCCTCGAAGTGGGGGATGAAAATTCTCTCTGTGTACGCTGTGGTCGCTCGGCTTTCGGAGACTTAACGTCCACCTCCTGCACCGATGAAGACGATACGAGCTGTTTAAAGTACCGGACCGCTTCGTCGACCAGTCGGCCGATGGACAACGACCGGTCAAGGGTTAGAATACTTCCTTCCAGTAGTAGACACTCTCGTAACTGCTGGCTCCTAGTCTCTGCCACCAGCTGATCTCGGATGAACTCGTCCGCCAAGAGTCCGAACTCGCAGTCCGCCGACAGGTCTCGCAGCTCGGCAACGAATACTTCGACAGATTCCCCTGGCAGCTGCGCTCGCTGCCTAAAGCGGTGTCGTGCAACGATCACGTTCAAAGTCGCCGCGAAAAAGGTCTCCATGTCCGCCAAAGGGACATCGTACTCGTCCACCACAGTCGGTGGCTTCATGCCGGCAGTTGTTTCTTGCAGTGGTACCGGAGGATGCGTCTCCGAAAGTGTGTAGAAGACTATATGTCCTTCAACACCGAAGCAATGTGGAAGTAAGGCCTTCCGCCGAGCAGGTCCATGGGCGTCGCCCCCCGAGGCGAGCAAGTAATTTTGTAGCACCCGCCGCCACTCTTTCCACGGGATAACAGGTCTCCCAGGAGCGGGAAGGAAGGGAGGCGGCACCGCTAGGCTCATGCTTGTCGGTACATCCTCGTCGCCAAACTGTTGTATGCTACCGTGGCAGCTGAAGTCGACCACCCTGCTCCAGTACCGGTAAAGAACAACCTTTTTTTATTCAATCCTCTTCTTCAGATTACAAATGCAACAGTAGCGCCGCCACAACAGATATGGTTGCTTGCATTACGCGGACGATCTGAAATCGATGAACCGGTGCTCCCAGCCTTCCGGAAACCTTGGCTGCCACGACTGAAACAGGCGTGCCAATGCCGCCGATCTGTACTTTCAATATCAAACGCGATCCGGGGAGCCGTTTGATTAAACCGGTACAGTTTGGCGGTCATCCGTCACCCGTCTGTGCAACATGGTCACCGGTTTGAGCAAACGTGCCACAATTTCGCCCAAACGAGTCGCCCATTTGGCCAGACGAGTAACCCGTTTGCCAAAAGAGTGACCTGTTTGTCCAAATAGTTGAACGTTATGGCTCATACGAGGGACCCCTTTGGGCCATGCGGGGGACTCCTTCGACAAAGAAACTGGTGACCGGTATAGTTAAACCTTTACCGGTATGGACATGTTTATTTTTATATAAGCGCCAAATAGTTTTTTTCAGCAAATAGCAATATCGGAGGCCCCCTCCGAAATTGCCAGCTAAAAACATTCTTTTGGGTAAGTTTTCCAAAATGACGAGTTTCTGAAAAAGTAGTAACCTGCGTGAAGTATTTTTTTGTTTGCAAAGGCCGCCGTAGGTAACGATTCTTTTAATTTCTTAGTTTTTGCTCATGTAAGCTTTTGTCTTACATTGTGATACACAAATCGCACCATTTTTCGCCACACGATCATAAATAGTAATGTAAGAGGACAGAAAACTACTTTGTGTGCTCCTCTTTAAGGGTCATAGGTCCCTTCAAATTCGCTACGTTTTACCAAGATATTAGAGAAAACTGATTCGGGATTCCTTGAGTTATATAGTAGAAATTCATTCAGATCATCAAGAGTGGATGTAGCTTTTTGAAGTTCGGAGATTTTATAGAGCAGACAGAAATAGGTGATGGGCGACGTTTCGGATGTGTGTATTTCATCGATTGAAGTCTTGAAACTTATACCTTTTTTAACAATATACGTGTTACTAAATATAAAATATATGTTGCACAAACAAGTAGAGCCAAGCAATAAAAAAAATAGACGGTGTCTTGTATTGCACACGATAGTGTAAACCTGCTTTGGCAAACATAGTGACACATTTCGCAGAGCCCGCCATCTCTAAGCTTGTCGGTTCGGGGATGCTGGTCTCAATCCCTTCCACTGCCAGTTTAAAATCGTAATACGTTTACTGATCTTTTTTTTCCTCCCATAGCGTGTATTTACTCACGAAAGCCGTCTGCTGCTTGTGTTGATGATAAGAGATTACATAACAATATTATCAAAAACAAATTTTGCAAATATATTGCTCTGATCGAACTTACTTCGTCATCATTATGCAATCTGTACCTTTTTTGGCATCTGGGTAACCACGATATACTAGGCTAATCTCGTTTTTTTTATATTGAGTTGTGAATCTTAAGAAAAGCTACAAAGCATTCCGCAGACAACAAATGACCTAAACAAATGAACATCAATATCAAATGAACACCGTAAATAAACGATAAGAAAATAACTATAAAATTATTTTGTCGAAGAAAGAAAATGCTACCCTGTACATTCAAAATATTGCAAACGATTATTGTATACAGCACAATACATGTGATAGAAGACACAATAAAACATTTATTGCAAGTAAAAAAATTGTGCTTGAAAACGGAATAGAGACTTAACTTCAGACTTTGCTATAAGACCTAATTTGACGGCCATGTAAACTTTACTCTCAAAAGATATGAATCTATATGCAACGTAAAATTTATGAAGGCGTAAAATCACAAACAATGCTAAAATGCAGATTAACATTCATGGTGAACCGATGTGAATAAGCACCGTACGGACTTGCGGTCCCCATCTATCATTACCGTATCAAAATTAAGCAAACCCGTTGTCACGCAAGAGCCGTGAGGTGCAATCTCTTCATTCCACGTGAGCCCCGGCTCTTTTATATCCTTGTTGTGACGTCAGGTGATGTCGCACATTTGCAACTTTTTTTCCCATTTTAAGCAGAGACTGAGTGTGCACAAGTTGGCTGAACCTTTCGTTGTTGGTCAACATTTGAAGAGGGTGACCCCGTCTAGATTACCTACAGTAGCGGTGGGAGCTCGTGGTGGTAAGAAGGATGACCTGTGACTGTGGCAGTGGTAGTGCTGATGTTGTTATTGCGTGAGGTGGTGTTGGTTTAAATTATTCATCCAAGTAGCATTTGTTTTTATCGTCACCATTTAGACCGAAAGATTCTGGCGTCGGCTTCAGGAGTAGTCGGTTTTTGGAAAGTGCGCGGTTATTTTATGTCAGTGCGGCATGTGACCTCACAGCAAATCGGCTGATCGATTTGGCTTAGAGGCTCCAGCGAATCGGTGATGCAAGTCTGAGAAACTTGCCGGGCCTAAGAGGGCGCGGGCAATGCCCAGGTTTATTTTTGTTTGAAATTTCGCATCTGTATCGCTGGACTCTGTGCCAATTCTGGTACGTGGGACCGAAGTCTCGGACCTATGAGAAGTTCACAGGGTGTCCGGCCGTCCTCAAATGGTGTTGCCCCTCGAATTGAGCACATCCAGCCAGATGTGTTATACTTCCATTGTTTTCTTGGGAATGCGTTTAGCGATTTTGACATATTATTTGTCCAGGCCATCGGAACCCGGGAAGAGAGGACTTGATTTGCTATGCTGGGAATTATAAATAAAAGAAAACACTTAAAAATCTCCAATAAAATGTTTGACTCATTTTCTGAATAAGCTTCCATAGATATACCGCGTCTTGCAAAGGTGTCACTTCATTTTGCAACTATGGTTTGCGGTGTAATGTCGTTGAGTGGAAAAGGCAGCAGGGCCGCCTTTCCGGATTATTTTGTATTTGGGAGACTTGTGGCCTCCAAGTACACCCATTCAATCATTGCTTCAACTTGACATACTTCTGCTCCAGGTCGACTGACAGTCGCAGTGCTCCAGGATGCTCCAGAGTAGCCGTCTTGGTCCTTTGGTTTTAGTTAAGCATAACCACTCAGAACCCTGTCGGCTGCGCAATGTGTCGCGAGCAAGACATTCGTGGTCAAGCATGAGTCGTGAGATGTAATCTGTATTGTACACGTGAGTGCCAAGCTGTGACGTCAGGTGACGTCACACACTTAGTAGAATTAGAGCGTGGTGCACGTTAAAAACGCCAGGCTTGCAATCGTGATATACGGGCTAAACGTATCATCTAGAGTGGTTAGATAAGAGGCCTCTTCAGGTAGATTGAAATCCTGCTATGGACATTTTCGACACTGGCAGAACAACCTTGAATGTCGTCGTTTCAAGCATGGGCAAGAACATTGTTGAGCGATTTCTAAGCCAATAAAGAACATTTTGGACATGTGCGTAACCGTCACCCGTTCTGGCGCCGAATCTGCACTATTTTTTACTATTTGAAGATTTAAATGTTATATTTGTTTTTTCGTCGCCCATGTCGAACATCCCTGCCACGTAGCTGGGAACGAGAGTGAAGAAAAGTTATATTATTGACCCTTTCCAGAATCTCATTCGGCAAACCTCGCCTCCGCCATTTCTTTGGCAGAAAGGGTGTGATGGGATCCGAGTTCCCCGAGAGCGCTCACCCTGCACTCACTTGCGACACGAGCTTGGCCGCGTTCCCTCCGCTTGCTGACGCCGCCTCGTGTCGAATACGAAATCAGGCTACGGAGGGAAAATATGACAGCCTCTACTAACTGACGCAGTAGATACAAGATTGCGTGGACTGGGGGAAAAGAAAATCTCATAATTAAATTACGTTCTTTTGCATCTTGGCTTCGTTCTGCTTCCCTGAAACCTGCTCGGCGGAGCGAGCAGCCAACGCAACAATCTAATGGAGTCCATCAGCACCACCTGGAATGCATCAGCACGGCGATCGTTTTCTCTCCCGGTTGGTTGGTTATTGTTACTGAAGCCAATCAAGCTTAAAAAACGAATTATGGCGACGTATGCTCAGTACGTGATTGTCAGTGACAGGAAACGCTCAAAGGCGACACCAATCGTAGCGATGAAAACTGGCGTAGCTTCATTGGTTTCATTGGATCCTAGTGCCAAGTGCGTTCGGACCTAACACGCAACCAAGTATGGCCGTGAGGGAGAGGAGGAAAAGCGAATGGGTGGGGACGTCAGAATGTCAAGTTCTGATCAGAAGGATTAGTGGGGAGACCAAAAGCTAACTGCCCTTGTCTCCAACGTCTCATTGCACACTTCGAACACCTTTGAATCCGAAAGCAAACGCAGCGGACGCCAGCGTTCCGCGTTCTAATGGGTTCGACGAATGCAGTGAAGACAAAAGCTTTTAGCTTCAGATCTACGCACTACTCGTTCCAACAAGAACTTGGAGTTATGAGTTACCCTCTCTTCGCCTCCTCTCCCTCACTTTCTGGGCGCATACAATTGGCCTGCGAGTTCATATGGGTCATGGTCGCGTGATCCTTACGCGAGTTAAACATTTAAAAGAGATGGCTTTACATTGTAACCACCTACGGCCCTCTTGCTCTTGCGCTAATCTGACCTCTTCACGTCGCAGAGTGCAAAGTTTTGGTGGCAGCGATTTCCACACTACATTTAGCTAGAAAATTAACATCTCAGGTTCAAGCCGTGTTACAACGCGAGTACAGAATGTCACGTGACGCGCCGTCACGGTGGCGTCGCCTGACTTTTCATGACGGTTGTTAAAGCGACATCACTTTCCATGGCGAATTTGGCATGATGATCATCATGGTTTTCTTTGACGCAACGTCACGCTGGTATCGCTTGTCGTGGTGATGTGGGGCGCTACGGTGTAACATGACGGGATATCACGGCTTTCCTCCGGAGAAAGATATCCGCTATATTTTGAGAAAACCTGCAACTTCTTCGTAACTTAAG